CGTTTATTCATTTCAATAAAAACAAACTAACAACTTGTCTAAAATATTTTTATCGCAAATATACAATAACTTGTAAGCATTTTTATCCGAATCGAAATATAAAATAAAATAAACATCATTCAACAAACACAACAAAAATAAATTTAAACACACTGAAATAATATTTAAAGAAAAAATATCAACTGATAAAACATAAATGAGTTTACAAAAACCAAAACAAACCAAATTACTTTTAATTGGAGAAACAGGTGTTGGTAAAAGTTCATTTGGTAATTCCATTTTACAGAAGAATGTTTTTAAAGTAGGTAATAATTCAAATTCAGAAACAAAAATAGTTGCTAAATGTTTTGGAGAAGGAGATAGAAGTGATTTAGTTGTTATTGATACACCTGGTTTTAATGATACTGATAATTTTGATGAAGGACATATTCAAAATATTGTAAAATGTGTTAAAGCTGAAGGATTACAAGGGATTGTATTAACAATGAATTATAATGATTGTAAATTTATTGATAACATTAAACAAGTTATTAAAACTATAAATGATGTTTTCAAAATAAAAGACATTTGGAAACATGTTTGTATTGTTTGGAATAAATGTTATAATTCTCTTTTCCAAAAGATAATTAAAAAAGGTGAAAAAGAGAAAGAACAATTCAAAGAAAATATAATTTCATTTATAAATCAAATAAATGAAACAAATGAAGATATTGATATTAAAATGTATTATGTAGATTCAGATCCAGATGAAGAACATGATAATAGCAGATCAGAAGAAGAAATAGAAAGATTAATTGAATGGGCAAAAGAATTAGAATTAATTGATGAAAAAGAAATTAATAAATTAGTCGATGAATACAAAGAAATTCTATATGAAGAAAAAGAAGAAAAAGGTAAAACATTAAGAGAAACAGAATTTAAAATAACATTGGAAATAAATATATACAGAAGATGTATTAAAATAAAAAATAATGGAGAAAAAATAGTAGATAATTGGGTTTTATTTAGTACCAAAATAACAACAGAAAAGAAAAAAACTTTTATGGAAAAAGTATGGGGTGTTGTTAAAGTTTTAGGTTTTATTTCCCTTGGTGTTGGTGTTGCTATTGGTGTTATTGGTGGTGCTGTCATTGGTGGTGCTGTCATTGGTGGTGCTGTTGGTGCTGTTGTCATTGGTGGTGTTGTTGGTGGTGTTGATGGTGCTGTTGGTGGTGCTGTTGGTGGTGCTGTTGGTGGTGCTGTTGGTGGTGCTGTTGGTGGTGCTGTCATTGGTGGTGTTGTTGGTGGTGTTGTTGGTGTTAGTGATGTTATGAAAAAGACAAGTAACACCAAAAAAATTGAAAATTAATTAAACATTATAAATGATTTATGTTTTGAATTTGATAAAAGAAAAATGATAAAATACTTTCAAAACAGATAATATCCTTTTTAATCAGTTTAAAAAAGAAAAATAGTAAAACACAATAAATGTATTGAGTAATGATGAAAATATTGTTTGTTTATGGTTGTATAAGTCAAATAACATATAATACATTTTCTGTGTGAATTTCTTCATATTCATCATTCTCACTCACTTTTATTTTTTTCCTTTCCATGTGAAATATTTAACACTTTCATTATTTCAACTGAATGTAATTATTTTATTAAGTGTCATGTTATTTTCACTGACTATTCTAAATTTGTTTCATACAAATTAATTATAAATAAAAGGGGTATGTTTGTTTTATCATTTTAAATACGATAGATTTATTTTTACATCAAATAAACGACAAACATCATTTACAAACAAATAATTTGTGAAATAACCTAATTGTAGTATTTAAATGAATAATAACTTAAAAATAACAATGAATTTACCAGAAGACAAACCAAAACAAACGAAATTACTTTTAATTGGAGAATCAGGAAATGGTAAAAGTTCAGTTGGTAATTTCATTTTAAAGAAGAATGTTTTTGAAGTTAGTAGTAGTCCAAATTCACAAACAAGAGATGCTGTTAGAGAAAATGGAAAAGGAGAAAGAAGTGATTTAATTGTTATTGACACGCCAAGTCTTCAAGAATCAAAAGAATTTAATGAAAAGTTTTTGAATGATATAGTTGATATTGTTCAAGAACAAGAAGGAATAAATGGAATTGTTATTGTTCTAAACTATAATACAAATAGAATTTCCAATAACATTAAAATAATGATTGAAATAATGTCTAAAATCTTTTCATCACAAGACTTTTTGAAACATATCTGTATTGTATGGAATAAGTGTTATTATTATATATCAGATAGGCAATTAACAAACCAAAAAGAAATTAAAAGAAATGAATTTATTCCAGAATTACTGAGACGTACTGAAATACTTACAGGAGCAGAAGAAACTATTGACATTCCAATGTATTATGTAGATTCACAACCAGATAAAAGATGTGATAATATCAGATCAGAAAATGAAATAGAAAGATTAATTGAATGGGGAAGAGGAGTAACTCCTATTAATATTGATACAAGTAATCAAGAAAAAACACCAGTCATAGAAGAAAAAGAAGAAACAGAATCAATGGGAAATAATGATAAGCAAATAATAACACAAGTCAAAAGGAAGAGAAGAGAAATAAAAATTGAACTTAATGGAGAAATTAAATATGGTGATTGGAAATTAATAAAAGTTATGAGCAATGAAAAACAATCAAGCAACCCATTAAAAACAGTAGCAGTGATAGGAACAATAATAATAGGAACAATAGCAATAGGAACAATTATATTTGTTTTGGCAAAAGTTAAATAGGTTTAAACCAAATAATTTTAACTAAATTCAATTAACTATTTTTTAAAACATTAAATTGATTTTATTGAAATAACAATTGAATAGTTTAATTTATCAATTCCAATATAATTCAAATTAAAAAGAATAAAAAAATAAATAAACAATCTTGAAATTATTGAAAATGTTGAATGAAATAAAGACAAAAATAATGAAAATAAAAGAAGAAATTAAATAATATGTTTTTTGAAATAATAAAATATTTGATAAATCACTTTAATTGTTGTTATTCAATGAAAATTAACCATAATTTCAATGTTAAAAGATAGAATTATGACAAATTAAATAAACACATTTTCATGAAAAGAATAAAGAAAAATAAATCAAGAAGTAGATATATTCAAAAAAAGAATGATAAATGAACAACACTCAACAAACACAATTGAATTACCTCATTTATTTATATAAAATAATGTGAGTTGTTTATTAATCTTTAAATAATACTTTTATATCCAAATTGAATATTATAATTAAAATAAATCATGTTATCGTGTTAATAGAATTATTCATTATTTTTGAATGAAATTTAAATATAAATTAAAAACGATGTTATAAATAATTTGTACCAACACGTTTATTTACACATAACAGTGAAATGAAAATATAAAAATAAAAACATCATTTAAAAAAAGACAAATAACATGAAAGGGGTTATGGTTAATAAACAAAAAGTGAATTAAAATAGTTAGAAATAGCTTGTAATGTCATTAAATAATAAACAAAATAAAATAAACGTCATTCGACAAACACAACAATAATTCTAAATACACTGAAATAATATTTAAAGAAAAACAACCAACTGATAAAACATAAATGAGTGTACAAAACCAAAAACAAACCAAATTACTTTTAATTGGAGAAACAGGTGTTGGTAAAAGTTCACTCGGTAATTTCATTTTAGAGAGGACTGTTTTTACAGTAGACTATAGCACAAATTCAGTTAAAAAAGATGTTGCTGGCTATTTTGGAAAATATGAAAGAAAAGATTTATTTGTTATTGACACACCTGGTCTGCAAGACACACAGGAATTAAATGAAAAGTTTTTGAACGATATAGTTGAATATGTTAAAAAACAAGGTGGAATAAATGGAATTATATTAACAATTGACTTCAATGAAGAAAGATTTTCTGCTAACCTTCAATTCATTATTAACGTTATTTCTGATGTTTTCACAATAAAAGACATTTGGAAACGTGTTTGTATTGTTTGGAATAAATGTGATATAGACGAAGTGAGAGGAATTGGAAAAAACAATAAAGTTGTAAAACAACAATTCAAAAAAGACTTAGTTGAATTTATAAGTCAAACAAATGATGATATTGAAATACCGATGTATTATGTAGATTTACAACCAGAAGAATATGATGATATTAAAAGATCAGAGAAAGAAATAGAGAGATTAATTGA